GGCTCGTGTCCGCTTCTAGACCTAGCTCACCGTGTGGCGCGAGGTCCCTCCCCACCCCAGAAGTCTCGGCCATTGTCGCAGCCTGAGTACGAGCGCCCAGTCAGTGGTGCCCAGGAGTAACTTACATATCAGTCAAGGACTAAAGTAGAATTTTGCTGTTGCGTAGATACCACTTTTTAAAAGGATTCTCTATAAGGTATTTATAAAGTGTACACAAGTATCTGTAACCATAGGGCCTTGAGAACAACTTTTAATGAGTTGTGCGTATTTGACAGATCACTTTTCTCACTTTTATTTTTCTAAACTGAAATTATATTCGATGCTTTCCCCTTTTACCAACCACCACTTTCATTTTGAGTTTTCTTCCTTAAATTAGATGTTAACGGCAATCCTGGATTCCATGTAAAACTTTGAAATATTCAAATTTTGGTTTTTTCCATCTTTGCTTCCTTCCCTTGAATCACTAGATAACCATGTCTTGACGTTTTCAAATTTTCACCAGCCCTGTCAGTATTATCCTCAACACTGTACAAACCTAAACCATTTGAGGCTTATAGAAAGAAAGCATGGTAAAGAACCACGGAAGATAATAAATCTAGAGTGGCACCCTCTTAATCTGAAATTACACACTTAATATTGTGATACACAAATGTGGCTGATTGTGGGAATCTAGTTCCAAAGAGACTAGCCATTAATTAATATTTCCAAGGTAATAAACAAGAGTAGAGGTACTTGCATGTTCTATTGTTAGTGATTGATTTTCACTGGTACTTCTTAACAATTTTATCTTATTACAAACATGGACTAGCAAATTAAGATAATTTAATTCCACATGTATATGATTGGGCAAAGGCACTAGGAAATGCATTGTGAACAAATAATTTGTGAAAGGAAAAAACTAGAAATATTGACAGTATAGAAAAGGCTTTTGTTGCTAAGAAAAGATTGGTTACGTGCATTTCTAGAGAAACTTTATATGAACTGGTTACTTTCATGAAACTATCTCAAAGTTTAAACAAGAAAGCTACAAACCTAATGAGGAAAGAAAAAACCTGATTTTTGTAAGTTAATATCTACAAAGAATGGTAAAAAAAGATATAGGAAGGTTATTTCAAAAGACTTTATTTCGTTTAAATAAATGAAAAAAAATAAAGAAAAAGCATTTGGATCGTGAGAAGTAACTCAAAGCTTGTACTGGAAGGACTATTGTTCTACCATGAAGGTAAATAAGCACCATACCAATTTGCTTTTGACTGCTTCCCAATTGTTTTATATATTAGTTTTCCTCTTCCAATTTGTTTGTGGTTCCTCTCCAAAAGGGAAACTTATTTTGCACACTTAGCCCTGGACACATAGGTTCTCAAACATTTGTTAGTAGATTGGCTCGAAAATTTGTGGTGGTGATCCACACGTGGAGAAAGAGACATAATGATCTAGTAATTAGCTCATTAAATATAAAGTTTCTTCTTTCTTCAGGGGTATTTCTGAGAGTCTGCCCTGATTGCCAATTTTAAAAAGGCCTCATTCAGTCTCGCCCTACGTTGATGCCTAAAATACACTTGGAATCAACAGGACCACAGAAAATGAAGCCATCTATTGAACCGGGAGAGGCCATTTTTGTGAAGCAGTGATTTCACAGCAAGTGCTGGGATAGTTAACTGGGTGGATAAGCCTCCCGGTGCCGTAGGTCTTAGTCTCCACGTGAGATCATGTGGAAAGACTGAATTTGAAACATTCTTTTTAGGTGTTTCATGCTGGCCATTATATGAGTGTACACTGGAAAAAGGATGTACCGGGACGGTAGGCACACACTCAGGGTCTCCCTAACGCAATGAACTAGTTAGACGTACAGCGAACTGCGGGATTGAAGTCTATGCTGAACGAAAAGCTGGACATCTGGAGTAGCACATGGGGTGAAGGGACTTGGGGAAAACCTTTGCAGGGAAAAGCCAGGAGGCCAGCGCAGCAGCATGTGAGTCGGACTCCCGGCCGCCAGGCCGAAGACCTCGCGGATTTCCCGGCCTGAAGGCGGCCCCTCCGCCGGGTTCCCGGGCGCGGGCCCCGCTCCCTCTGAAGGGGCGCGGGGGGCAGAGTGAGGGCAGCCGGACCCGCAGAGGAAGCGACTCAGGGCTAGTCCCCGACCTGCGGGAGGGTAAGGCTGAGGAAGTGAGACGTGTTGCGGGGTTAAGGGACCCTACAATCCCTGTCCACCTTTGCAGTTAAACCAGGACTGGACTGGGGAAGATTCTGGACGTCCCCACCCCCGCCGTGCAGGGAGTAATTCATACAAAAGGAGGACGCACCTCAGCCTCGGGGAATCCCAGGGACCGTCGACAAACTCCCACTAACCTAGAACCCAGGGCGCGCTCGTCCCCGCCCCCCACCCACGCGCTGTCGTCATTCTCCGGGTTGAGAGGAGCATGCGCGAGGCGCCGCATGCTCCTCAGTGCGCTGAGCGCACATCGCCCACGGTCCCCAGGATGGGGGGGGAGGGGACGGCGACTGAGCGGGTGCCTGTGGAGTTGGCGCGGGGCACGCCGGGAAGTGGTGTCGTGTGCTGGCCCCGCCCGTTTCCCGAGGGTGGGGGAGGGCCATATATAAACGCCGTGGGCCCCGTGAACGGTCTTTTTCGCAACGGGTTTGCCGCCAGGACACAGGTGGGTGCGGGGCGCGGGTCGGCGGGCGCGGCCTCTGGGGCGGTTTCCCTCCTTCTGCTTCCCGCGTGGTTTCCTCCGTCTTCGCGCCGCCGAGCTCCCCTCCGAATTCCCGACCCCAAATTTCAGCTTGTGAGGGGCGGAAGGGTTCGAGGCCTCGGCTCCTCGGGCTCGCGTCCCTCGTGCGCGGGCGGAGGCCTGGCTGGATCCCGCGCGGGTTCTCGCTCCGCGGGCTTCCCGGGACCCGGCCGACGGCTCTGATGGGGCGGGCTTCTCCG